TGGAGATATTAAAGGAACATTTTGTGCAAAAATGGACATGATAAAGGACAAAAATGGTAGGGACCTCACAGAAACAGAAGACATCAAGAAGAGGTGGCAAGAATACACAGAGGAATAGTACCAGAAAGATCTGGATGTCCCAGACAACCCAGTTAGTGTAGTTGCTGACCCTGAGCCAGACATCCTGGAGAGAGGTCAAGTGGGCCTTAGAAAACATGGCAAACAACAAGGCCAGTGGAAGTGATGGCATTCCAGGTGAACTATTTAAAATCTTAAAAGATGACGCTGTTAAGGTGCAACATTCAATATGCCAGCAAGTCTGGAAAACTCAGCAGTGGCCAGAGGATTGGAAAAGATCAGTCTACATACCAGTCCCAAAGAAGGGCAGTGCCAAAGAATGCTCCAACTACCGTATAATTGCACTCATTTCACACGCCAGCAAGGTTATGCTCAAAATCCTACAACGTAGGCTTCAGCAGTAGACTGAGAGTACAAGATGGATTTCGAAGGGGCATAGGAACTAGAGACCAAATTGCTAACATGTGCTGGATTATGGAGAAAGCCAGAGAGTTCCAGAAAAACATCTACTTCTGCTTCATTGACTACGCAAAAACCTTTGACTGTGTGGACCACAACAAACTACGGCAAGTTCTTAAAGAAATGGGAGTGCCTGAACACCTTTTCTCTCTCCTGAGAAATCTATATGTGGGACAGGATGCAACAGTTAGAACTGGATAAGGAGCTACTGATTGGTTCAAAATTGGGAAAGGAGTACGACAAGGCTGTATATTGTCTCCCTGCTTATTTAACTTATATGCAGAATACATCATGCGAAAGGCTGGACTGGAGGAATCCCAAACCGGAATTAAGATTGCCAGAAGAAATATCAATAACCTCAGATATGCAGATGATACCACTCCGATGGCAGAAAGTGAGGAGGAATTAAAGAACATCTCAATGAGGGTGAAAGAGGAGAGTACAAAAAATAGTCTGAAGCTCAACACAAAAAAAAAAACCCTAAGATCATGGCCACTGGTCCCATCACCTCCCGGCAAACAGAAGGGGAAGATATGGAGGCAGTGAAAGAATTTACTTTCTTGGGCTCCATGATCACTGCAGATGGTGACAGAAGCCCCGAAATTAAAAGAGCCTGCTTCTTGGAAGGAAAGTGATGACAAACCTAGACAACATCTTAAAAAGCAGAGACATCACCTTGCCGACAAACGTCCGCATAGTCAAAGCTGTGGTTTTTCTATTAGCAATGTATGGAAGTGAGAGCTGGATCATAAAGAAGGCTGACCACTGAAGAATTGATGCTATTGAATTGTGGTGCTGGAGGAGACCCTTGAGAGTCCCCTGGACTGCAAGGAGAGCAGACCTATCCATTCTGAAGGAAATCAACCCTGAGTGCTCACTGGAAGGACAGGTCCTGAAGCTGAGGCTCCAATACTTTGGCCATCTCATAAGAAGAGAAGACTCCCTGGAAAAGATCTTGATGTTGGGAAAGTGTGAAGGCAAGAGGAGAAGGGGACGACAGAGAACGAGATGGTTGGATAGTATAATCGAAGCTACCAACATGAAATTGACCAAACTCCAGGAGGCAGTGGAAGATAGGAGGGCCTGACGTGCTCTGGTCCATGAAGTCATAAAGAGTCGGACACAATTTAACGACGAAACAATATTTCATAACAATATTTTTGTTATGAAAAAGATATCTGATTGAGAATGCTTCCATAGGGAAATTTCCAGAGGGAAAATAGAACGTCAGAAATCTGAAGTTCTCAAACTACAAACAAACATCAGGACACTTGAAGCAGCTTAATAAATCTTAAGCCCCAAAACACAAACTCACCAATGTTCTTTTGGGGTGCAGCTTAAGAGACACTGGAATTTTAGGGTCTGAATTAACTGAGGTGATTCTGACAGCTGCGTGCATTTCTATGTATAATCTCCTCCTCAACTCTTCAGGTATCTGAAATAGAGTTAATAACAAGAAGAAATGTCAGAAAAGAAAAGTCAATATTTCACAAAAACTGTCATGTTCAAGTAATGCACTTAAACTTTTTGCAATTTAAAAGTAAGTTTACTTTTCAGAATGCTACACGTTATACAAAATGTTACCAGTTTTGTGCATATTTAGGGAAAACCTGTGCCCCACTTTGGTTAGGACTGTATTTGACAACTTCTGTGAAGACAATGATGTACTGTAACTCAGAACTCATCTTTGCTACCAGAAGTTCTAGTAAAAATAATGGCCATAACAAGTGAACCTCCGAATTATCCATTTTATTGCATTTAAAACATAAATATTAAGCAACTTTGGGCACTTCAATTAGCAGGGATTATAAATTTTAACATAATTAAATAAGGTATTTTAAAAAAAAAATGGTTTCTAACTGGTCATTCTGAAGTTGGGTTGGAAAATAATCTCTACTGAAAGCAAGTCCATTGAAATCAAAAGGACAAATGCCCCAAAACCTTTGGGGGCCACAAGCATATTTGTCATGGACACTATCAGAAAACAGGTATTTTGATGAACATGGCAAGTCACAAAACCCTTACTTCACAGAAAAAAAACTTTCTTTTGCAGCCAAATATCCCCCTAAACTGCAGTTCTTCTATGACAGTGAGAGAGAGAGAGAGAGAGAGAGAGAGAGAGACTTGGATGGGCATATCACAAGACAGAAAAGGGAAAAAACAACAAGAACCAGGAAAAGGGAGAAGTGAAGCGATGAAGAGGAAGATGAGGAAGAGCAGCAGCACAAAGATTAAATGGTAGTCGTTATAAAATCAGTACCTAATTGGTTAAGATTTTAGATGATGCAGGAAAAAAATCCACCTGATTTAGTTTGTGTAAACATTAGTACGTAACATTTTTAATTAAACAAGTAGAACATTAAGTTAAATATCAAATAGCTAGTTTTAAAGGAAAACCTAAGAGAAAATGGCATGCAATATTGTGGCTGACTTTACTTCCCTAAATAGCATTTTGTTTACTCTATTAAATTATATTTTCTTGTACTTTATGTTGGTTTCCCCACCCTGGCACTTTTGAGATGCCTTGAATTGGAAATTCTACAAATCAAGTGCTGGGTGGAGATGGGACAATTTGTAGATCAGCACATCTTAGAAGCACCAGGTTCGAGTGCTGCTCTACAGCATGGAGATAAGAACTTGTTCAATGAAGGTTTGTTGCTGATTTGTAGCTCTTTTCCTTTCTTTCCATTTACATTACTTATTCACCCTTCACGTGAATTGCTTGCCTGACCTAAAAAGGTCCATAAGGAACAATGATCTTTATTCTAGTAGAGGTCACAGGCAGTATGATAATAATGCGCAACAATATGTGTCTCCTAAGAACAGTTAGGAAATCAAGGGTGGTGAATTCCTAATCAAAAATAGTTTGAATGTCTGAAAGTATGTGAGGAGCAATTTTCTGTACTCCTGTGCCATCTGACTTTCTATCCATTTAGAAACAAGAAGCAGAGATCTACAGTAAGCCACATTTGGCATACATGGGCAAGAGATCCTAAATTTAATTTCAAGCATTTCCTGTTTAAAGCAGTGGTCCCCAACCTTTTTAATACCCCGGACCAGTTTAGTGTGCGTGGGGGGGCATCTGTACGTGAGTGTATGGATGCGGGAGTACGTCTGTGCATGTGGGGGGGGCAGGGGCATGCGTGTGTCTGTGGGGGGGACATGCATCCGTGTGTGCATGAGGATGCATGCAGGGGTGGGAGATCTGTCTCCGCAGCCTGGCCCTGCCAAGGCCACAGACTGGTACTGGTCCTCAATCCAGGGGTTGGGGACCCCTGGTTTAAATGATCAAATAAACCTAGAGGTCTATGACAATCTTCCCTTACTACCTGTTTGTTCACTTGATTTCCATTGGAGAGGGGCCTGAGCTTGACGAGATGAGCCAGTTAATCTAGTGCTCTTTTTTTCTCACTCCCTCTCTTTCACACACACACACATACAAACACTTTACATCCCATTCTGCTGTTGTTGCCATGATCAGTTCTTCTTCTCCTTACCCTGGTTGCTCACTCTCTTTTCATGCCTAATTAATTAAAATACTGTGAATTTTACCCTCCAATTTTAAATTACTTGGAACCTAATTAAGCCAAAGATACAGTTCTATTTGAGTTTGTTCAGAATTAGGACAAGGATTAAAAGATCAGCCTAATTAGTTAAAAAATTAATTTATCTATTCCAAAGTCTAGGAGGAAAAAAACAAAGCCAGCAGAAAACAGACAAGGGAAAACATATAAACATTTTGCACTTTCTTTTCTCAGCAATAATTGCTTTGCTTCACTACTCATTTTGCATCTTCCATAGGGTTCTCTGCTCATCCTCTCACACAGCCCATACCTTATTTTCTTCTATCTACTTTCTTTAAAAAAAAATTAAAAGGGTAATTCCCTCCCCTCCCTAATGTGTCCCATGTACTAGGTTTTCTGATCAGCTACTCATATGCTACTCTGGAATAGAGTTGCAGGAGGAAAGCAGACAAAAAATTATACTCTTTTTTTCTTCTCCTTTCATTTCTATATACTGTTCCAGCCTGAGATCAATGGACCAGGTTCCAATTTCACCTTGAAAAGTACATAGATGTTCTTTCCTACTTTCCTTCTCAACTGCATGTAATTTTCAATACTTAGATTGCTTCATTTCTGAAGTGGAACAATGAGCACAAGACAGATAATGCTGGGTACCATTGCACCTACAAGCACTTCACTGAGAACCCTAGGAGCAGAGCTTATTATTAGATAAATGATTGAAAAATAACATGTTAATCAGTGAGGAACTTCTCAACGTTTGACTTAAAGACATATAAACAACTGATTGAATTCTACTGGAGACTTCTGAAATTGGACTAACCCAAACTTTTCCAACATGTAATTGCTCCATACAGTTATTGGACGTTATAGCATTTTTCAGATCCTCAAATCCATTCCATATTATCTGTACAACAGAAGCCTCACTAGAGTCTAGATTTTTACTATGACTGGGCTGCTTTTGGTCTTCTTTACCGATCGTCTGCTTTTCTTTCTTTGCTGTTAGATTGTGCTTTGACTCTTGATGCTGCTGTTTTGGAGAAAGTAGTCTAGTAATTGACCCATAAGAGACTTTAATATTGGCTTCTAAAGCAGGGCATTCTGTATTCCATGGAAAAACATGAATGGTGTTGTATTTCTGAAATTTGGATGTTGTCCATGTGCCTTGCACGCTGGGAGGCTGAGACTGACATACTCTGAAAACTGAATCCATACAAATCAGGTTTAAGAAGTTGTCTTTAACAGCATTGAGTTCATCAGTGCCATTAGAAGTTTCGTGTTTCCTGTCAGAAGTATAAGAAAAAATGTTCCCAATTAGATTCCAAATGTTTGGCAAGACCTTCGTACCCATGGATGCTTTTGGGTCTGCTGTATGCTCTTGGACTCCCATATTTAAATTAGTCTCTTTGGCTTCCAACTTGGTAATTGTTTCTATTGGATTTAGCTTGGCTTTAGGAACAGAGTCCTGCAAAATGTCTTTTTTAACAGATGGCAGAATGATGGAGCCTTCTCCATAATGATGCATTTTAGGGCGTATGAAGAGTTCTGTTCGAGCTTCAAGTCTCCCATAAAGAGCAGCTGGTTTTAGAGTTACTGGAATTAAAGGGGAAATAATTAACATAAATGCCATATTCCAATTATTCCTCTAAAGCTTCAGAAAATTTTGCATAATGCCTTACCTATCTGGATATATATACAAGTGTGGCGCTCAACCCACACTGGGAAGATAGCTTTGGAAAACACTATTCGAATTTGATCAAGAAGATTATTTTCAAGTGAAGAAGCATGCAGCTCCTACAGCAATTTAATAGAAGATTACAAGACATTTAATATTAGACATTATCTCTTTTTTTTAACATACAAACCCTAATTTGAACCACAGACACTATAACTCCTGTATGTAATAAGGAGGCTGGGAAGCAGAGGAAAAGGGAAATGGAAGTCATTACCAGGCTTTAAAAGCATTAGAAAAAGGGTGGGAATTGCGTGCCCCCCGCAGAAGATTTAATGTACATTTTTGCATTCCCTTCTCCATAGCTTAAAAAATATTTTGCTGGAGTGAAGATTCATGCATCCACAAACCTCCACAAAGCAGATTTGTTCATTTTACAGCTACACTTCACACTTACGAGGACCTCCTAAAACAACCTTAAATCAAAATACTATCTCTGGTTTCAGAATAAGGGCCTGGGAATGGTAGAGGAACATAGGGTAGGTATGGCTACTGAAGCCTCTATGGCCGCCTACCTTTGCATTAGAAAATCTACATAATTTAATTAGTTTTATTACCAGTATCTCCCAATCGTCAGGTGAAAGTGGTTCCACTTCTACTTGCTGACAGGACAAAACTTGGCAACAAGGCTCCAGGAATATCTGAGAAAGAACATTTCTTGTTGAAAGAAAGTACTGTTAATATTTACAGAGACAATGCATGATATATAGTAGTATTTACTTGAGAAAAGAAATAAATGTCATGAGGAATCACATACTTGCTACCATAACAATAAGGAGGAATTTCAGGATTTGCAAAACAGATGCTTTTTGAACATTTATTTTTAAGCAGTGTCACTTTCCCTTCCTGGAAAACCTAAACAACCTTTTTGCAGGCTTCCTCAATTTTACAAGGAAGTTGCAATTCACTTCAGGACCTTGTCAAAGATGAAACAACTAGGGAAAAATTCAGGTATGTATATGCTTTTCCTTGATTGTGAATTGATCAAATGATATAACACTGGTGTTAATTCATGCACAGACAGAGTTCTCAACATAATTCTTTCTGGATTAGGCCTTGCATGTACAAAGACATGTTGTGCATGTGAGAGGAAACCTTAAAATTAACAACTGCAGCTACATATATACTTCCTTTAAAAAGTGTCATCAGCTCTGATGATCTTGTAATCAGGAAGGCTAATTCCATTCATCATTTTTCCTCATAGCATAGAATCACAAATGGCAAAGCTAACAGGACTCACTGTTTATCATTAAGATCCTCATACAAAGCTGCAGCTACATTGCTCAAAACTGCAAGTACAAAGTCTGGGCCTACAAGTTTTGCAGGTACAAAGGGTACACCCAAATGAATAAAAAAAAAACATACAGAATGCCACATTTCCAGACTTACTTGGTTGTGGTGCTTTTTAAAAACATATTTCTGTCTTGATTTCAACATTACCGTGAGTAATAAGCGCCAGTTCAGGTTTGCTAAAGTAAACCTTCATCTGCATGAATATTCTTCATGATAGGAAACTGACCATATTCAATAAGTGCTTAAATGAAGACTTAGAATGATTGACTACATTTGCATAAATTCCCACCTTTCTCAAAAATGCAAAGAAAATTAGGCTGCATCCCATACCTGTTGCCCATCTTCAACACCAAGTTTCTCTGCTAGCTGTCTGCTTATTTCAACAGTGTTTTCACCATTCTGATGACAATGTCTGATTTCTGTCCAACCCAAGAATGCAGGCTGATCACCCCAGGAAACTTTGACAGCTTGATCCTATTAATTTTTATAGGAAACAGTCATTGTTAAGAGTATCCACAAACTTCTTTCTGGCTATCAATATGAAAGTACACACATAACTAACTACAGGGCATTAATCTTGCATAGAATATGACCTACCCCCATCAGTGCCCTGATGGAATTTTTCATAGGTTTAAATACTTTTCATAGCTGTACATACTGTGTTGTGGCATACTTGTAGGTTTTTCCTATTCATAAAATCCCTTAACCATTTTAACTGTGCAGATCTGTGTGCATAAACAAATATCCACATGGATTACATCCTTCCACTGTAATAAAAGGGAAAATAAATTGGGAAAACCCTATGACTGGTAGAGTCTGAAACAGCAACCTAGTTTGCAAAGGCATAAGTTCTGTTTAAATGTACAAAAGGAGCAGAAGTTGGAATCCTGAAAATTTAGGTTACAAATGAATTTGAACCACAATTGCCTACACTAGTTACAGAAAACTGAAGAACAAAGTTTAGTTTCACATTTTCAGTGTTACAGCAGTGGGGGCAGGGAATAAAGAAAAAACAGTAAGAAACCTTATCATTGAGTTTCTAGACAGCTAATGAGGACACACAAATGAGGCCTGTTTCGTATTTTGCCAAACCCCAGTCCATATCGCTATATTCATAGATTCCCATTTGTTCTAGTGTTTTATTCTATTTTACTATCGATTTTGATCGTTGCTGGGTGCCCTGTCTAAAGCACCAGAAAGTGCAGGATATAGGTTTTTGTACAAGTAGATTTATTTTTAAAAATGCAAGAGAGCAAGGATCGTCAGGCAGCCGCTCTCATGGTTGCCATAAGCAACGGAATGCCAGAGGAGGAGACCGCCAGGGGAGAAAGGGGTCATTTGAACGTCCCCAATCAACCAGGAAGTAACAAAGCCGGAGTGAACAACGCACACTGGGCAGCCATGGAGATCATCAGAACCACGCTAAGCCTTTGGAGGCTTAGGGAAAGCGAGCACGTCTTCTGAAAGGATGGGGGGGGCACCCTCCAAGTTCCCATGAGCCTCTCTGCCCAGGTCCCGGATGAAGCAGCCCTTTCCCCCCCCCCCCGCGTTCCTGTACCTGCTGCAGACGGAGGCTGGAGACTAAGCCAGCGGGCAGGTGCAGGAAGCAGTCCCGGGCGCTACTCAAGGCGACATTCACCGCTGCTACTCCAGGGCCCCCCGCCCCCCACATGGCGGTCGCTGCCAGGGACCAACTACGGCCCGAGGCGGGCAACTCAGAGGTCAGCCTCTGTGGACTCGCTACTAGGAGGGCTCATGCCCGCCTTCTTCCTGCTTTTGCCCTGCCCCCCGTTCTGCCCAATAACACCCCGCGGCCCAGCCTCTTTTCCTCGCGGTGGTTGGCTGACGCCGATTGCCCGGGGTTCTTTCCGGGTTGTTGTGCTCTTTCACCTGCCTCGCCCCGCCCCTGAGCAGTGACCAATCCAAACGGAGGAAGCCGGCCTGCTCTACGCCAACCGCGCATTGCCGTGGCAATAGGGCAGCGTGAGTGGACGGGTGAGAAGAGGGCGCACGGGTGACGGTTGTCACGCGCGACGCAGGAGACGGGCGAGGGCAAGATGGCGGCGGTCGCTGTTGGGGAAGACGTTGGGGGTGTGCATCAGCACCACGCACAGCAAGCGATCTGCGCTTCGCGGGCCAAGTATCGAGAGGGACGCAGGCCTCGTGCGGTGAAGGTAAAATGAGGAGTCCTTCTTCGACTCCCTCTTTCTCTTGTCTTGGTCTGGGAAGCTTGCTTTTTCAGCTACAATTCCCAGCACTTATTAACCAGCAGATAGCTACTGGAAGAGTCCGGAAATTATTGGCCTCCGAAGTAACTTCATTGTGCTTATTTTAACACCCTTCCCCTTAAAGAAGAACCCTGGCGCCTCTTACTAAAGGATCATGTGAAAGTATTTGTCCACTGCAATAGCTCATACCCGAGAAGAGGTCCGCAGCCCGAGCATGAAAACCAGAGCTTTTCCTGTTGTTATTACGTACACCACACCCACTGACGCACTGGCAGACATCCAGTGGTGCATTGGGTCTGAAAAATTGAGGTTTCGTTTTGTGCCTAAGGCTGCTTACTGCTGATAGATCTTTCTGTCATGAATTGAACTCGTCCATTTTAAGGAAGCTAGACCACTGTTCTCGTTACTAAAGGTATGAATCGTGCCAGGAGCTGGCTGTTTTGCACGGTATTCAGTGCTTTCCAATTCTGTTAGCTGTATCTAGAGTCTCTTCTGGAAGTGTTTTTCAAACAGGCTATGCATGTCTTGCTCGTACTTGTGCCTTGCCTGTAGAGAAATAGTATTGTACTACCATAATTGGTTATTTTTACATGATTATATCTTTGTTAGCTAGGTCCTACTGTAACAACTCAACACACACAATAAGATAAGCAAAGATTTGTCTCCAGTTTTTAGGTGTGGTATATTCATGGTGGATGGATTATTTAGCCTACAAATTGGATATGAGCAGAATTCTGTTTTCCAGTCTCCTTTTAAATAGTTAGCAGCTGTGCTTTAAAATTTAATTGATCAAATTGTTTCTGTACTATAGTGCTCAAACACAGAATGTTAGTGAATTGCTTCACACCAAGTTGACTGTGCTGTCTACAAACAAGTTCAAAACAGGATGTCACACATAAACAATGTTTTAAAAAGCAAGTACTTGAGACTGAAGTGTTTATTAAAACAGAAATATTAATATGTCTCCTTTTGTAGGTGTATACTGTCAATTTAGAATCTCGATACTTGTTAATACAAGGTGTCCCTGCTTTGGGTGTCATGAAAGAATTAGTTGAGCAGTTTGCATTATATGGCCCCATTGAAGAATATAATCCGTTAGATGATTATCCAGCAGAAGAATTTACTGAGGTTTACTTGATCAAGTTTCAAAAAATACAAAGTGCAAGGTGAGAATTCATTTTCTCTTATAATCCCTAGTAATTTAAATGTTGAGACTTTTTTTAAATACTATTAATATGCAAATTACAATATGGTATTTGTTGTATTATCAATAAGTTCAGCTTAAAATGTTTCAATTAGTGTTTATTGTTTGACTATAACTTTCTTTTTTTAGGATAGCTAAAAGAAAACTTGATGAACGGAGTTTTTTCGGCAGTTTGCTGCATGTGTGTTATGCTCCAGAATTTGAGAGTATACAGGAGACTAGAGAGAAACTGCAAGACAGAAGGAGATACATAGCAAAAGCAACTAGTAAAAAAGGTTTGTCTTTATACTCCTATGAAAGTTAAAAATTCTTAGTTTGCATGTTCCTTTATAACATCAGTACTTCCTATATATCACTCACCTGTGGCACAGCACAAGGAAGGGATGGCAACAAAAACAACCAGCATGAAAGTTAATGGCTTTTGGATACATATCCTTCATGCCCCATTTCTTGGGGTTCTTGCCATGATCAACTGTAGGCTAAACTAAAGGTGGCAGTAAATTCATCTTTCTGTTTTTAAAATTGTGACTTTATGGGGTTGTGACTGCAGTAAAAATTCCTCCCTAACTCTTCTTTTGGAGTACTGCTACCATAGGCACCAGTAAGAACTTTTTGCCCATATATGAAAATTACCACACCTGTGATACTAGTAAGAGGGGAAGAATTCAGATACCCTTCCCTGCCTGTTGTAATACCAGCCCTGTTTGGGGATCCTTTTAATTAGTACAGCATTTCAAGAAATGGGAATACTAATGTCAAAAGTGTATTTGATGTCGTATTTAATTCTATCCTTCAAGTAAGAGAGTAGAATGAAACGATATGAAAGTTACACTTCCTAGATGTAACACAGGCACAAGTTACTTTTACATTTCGTATTGAAACTGATCTTAGTCTCTCTGAGTTTATTAGAATGTTTTCATTTTCTTTAGTATCCAAAGCAGAAAGTTCTATTTAATAATTACTGATTAAAGTTTTAAAAGAGAGTAAAGAAACTAATTAGAAAAATGTACTTAAAATATATTTTGGTGGCAGGAAAACTAATAAAATCTTGCAACACCTCGAACAAGTCCTATTTTGCATAAGCTTTCATAGACCGCAACCCATTTCAGATTCATTTTGTTTGCACATTTTAGCTTATGTTGAAGAAATAGTTGCTGTTTAAAGTTTGCAAAGCATATTTTGCATGCTGTGGAGTAAAACCAACATCCCATTGGCAGTAATGTCAGCACCTACCCCCATCCCAGCTCTCAGTGCCTCCTGAGAACTAACCTTTGAGCGTTCTCCTAGTGGAACACTGCTTTTGGATACTACTGTGTCATCTTTAAAAAGTCTTTCCAAATATTAGATAAGTTTTTCATATACTTGAACCAAATGAACATTCCAATGGGGAGGAATTGTCTAGAGAGCAGTTTCAGGCAGTGGTGATTGTTTAAAGTTAATATTTGTTAAGTTCCATGAAACCCCTTTCAAAAATGAGTTAAAATGTTATATACTGTATGTGTTTGGCTGTAAACTATGTCTAAAACAATTTTGTCTGTTTCTGTTCTGAGTTTTTCTATATTGAATTTTTTCACATCACTTTCCTAAAAATTACCCTTTTAACTAAAACCGTTCTGAAAAATCTTTTAAAGGCATGAATGGAAATCTGGAATTCAGAATTTAAAACTCATCTTAATTTGGCATTAGTCTGTAATGCAGTAGAGCTGACTATGGTAGGCTAAATGTTAATTTGTTATTTTATGTTTAAGAGCCATTACTGACAAAGAAGCAGGATTCTAATACATCTTCTCAGCTGAACACTTCTGGATCTTGTAACTCTGGTGCACCAATTAGTTACTGGAATCAGCCTGTGTGTGTTCGTGATCGTTTTGAATCACCCTGCTATGAACTGAGAAGTATACCACCTCTTTCAGAAGAGCACTTCCACAATATATTAACGGCACCTCAGTGTGTCAGTGACTGTACTGAAATGTCTGAGTTCTTCAGCCAGAGGGCTGTAACTCAGAATCTACACCAAGACATACCTAACTCCGGAGCCACTTGCCACTTGCAAAGAAAGCTTTCTTGTGATAATGGACTAGGCAGATTCATGCCCCGAACAACACAGCTACAAGAACGAAAGAGGAGACGAGATGAAGACAATAAACTTGCTCTTTTTGGAAGTGCCACTAATAGTGAGGAAACAATTATTGGCCCAAGGCTGCCTGAAACAGCCAAAATAGACATGGATGATGATTCCCTGAACACATCAGCAAGCTTAATTCGTAATAAGCTTAAGGAGGTATGTCCTAGTATACTGTGTTTCTGAAAAGTCCAATAGTTCCTGAATGCAGTAGAAATTGATTATTTGAAGACAACAATTGTTTTTCCATGTACATGGATTCTGTAGACACAGACCTGTTTGCAGGGGGATTGTTTTGGAAATGCCAAATTTCTTTTTTAAGTAGTGCACATGATGAAGCACCTTTCTTAAACTGTTCATTATGTTTATTACTTGCTGACATTTCCAGTGTAGGCTGATCTAAAAACTACGAGGGAAGCTGCGTTTAAAAAGAAATACAAATGCTTTGTGTAATAGCTGCTCCTTTGAATTATGCATATTGTGACATTGCAGTGGCCTTTTCAGTTTTTAATATTGGGTCTTAATGTAAGACATAAAATGCAAAGAAATATGTCTCCTTTACTCTTAACATGTACAGAAACGTGATCAGAATTTTGTTCCACATGTCTTTTATATAGCAGTTAATTCTTGATGTTAGAATATATAGATTTATTGTTTTGTTTTCTTCAAGTACTGTGCATGAATGGTAACTATAAAATATTTGCCTTACTTCTGTTGCAACACTTCATTTCATATTTGTTCCATAACTGATGCTGTATGTGAATTGCATTGTTTGGAAATCGGCTCCCAAGTATAAAAATTGTAACGTGAAGTAGTTTTGTCTGCTGGCCAGCAGAAGTTTAACAGCTAAAATATATTCTATTAGAACTTTTGAGACCTTGAGGGAAATATTAGACCAACAGAGAAAGAATTTGCAAAATGACAGCATATACTGTATACTAAGTTTATATTTTCCTTTTTAAATTAGGTTGCAGTTCCTGTTCAAATTCCAGACATATATGGAGAGAGGTCCATGAATTGTCAAATAAATCCAACAGCAAAGCAGCGAAGACGAATATAAATAGTTCTTCGAAAATATACTGCACATTTAACTTGAACAGATAGTTTAATATTCTTACACAGCATTGTAATATGGCTTGCTCTGACAATGTTAAAATACTTGTATATATCCTATTTAATAAACTATCCATTATGGTACAATTCATTAACTAAAACCTATGTCTTACTACTTTTAGGAATATCTTCTGCTAAACTGTTACTCTCAAGCAAGATGATTATTGAAACTAAGGCACTTAAATCTTTGTAGGAAAAGCAGATTCTTTGGATAATGCGTCATTTTCATAGTAATTCAAATAATGGCATTTCACTCACAGAGCTACAGGTCATGAGTATCTTGGAAAACGTCTGCTTCAAATGACATCCTGCACTGTAAAATAAAACATCAGGTTAAAGAATTTAAAACAGCATGCAATGTCAAATAACTTAAGCCTTGCATGGTATGAACAGCCCAAAAGCCAACAGAATGAAACTGTGGCCTATATCTAACAATGTCATTGTGATAGCTTAAGACTCATTGAGTAAAATCCTGTTGACTTAGTCCCATTGGCATAAACTGGATCAGGGTGCCAGAAATAATTTAAATTACTTTGAAACTACTTATCCCCCTTGTTTTACCTTCAGAAACTCTTCAGGATTTTCTTTTGCCCTGGGGGAGCCTTGAGTTATGTGTGGGGAGTGGCTTAATAGTTAGAAATCACTACCAGATTGTTAGTCAGGATCAGGACTGCTGCTGGTGATCGAGAGGCAATTTATGTCTCTTAAACCACTCTCCCCATAACTATGTCCCTAAGCTCCCAAAGGCTTCCCTAGGGCTGAAGAGAGTCACAGGAAGCCTCTGAAATTTAAATGGGAGCTAGAAAGCTTTGGATTAATTTGAATTATTTCTGGCGCACTGATCTTATTTATCCCAGTAGATCTATGCCAACAGAATTTTGCCCACTGTGTTAGCGGTTGCACATTTTCAAAGTGTGGTAGTTAAGTCATTTTTGTCATAGACATGCCTGCAGAATAGTAGGACCCAAAACAGTTGCATTCACTCCATTATTACAACATTGGATTTAAACCTGTTAATTTAACATAAAAACTCAGTCCTGACCTTTTTGTAGCATGGTATCTCTACAGTGGGGTCTTGACTTAAGAACGGCTTGAGTTAAGAACATTTTGACTTAAGAACCACTCTCATAAGAAAATATTGACTTGACTTACATACTTAGATTTGAGTTAAGAACTGAAAAAAAACCACGTGGGAGGCAGGGAAAGTGCAAAATTTGAACTTTCAGTTAACTGTTGGACAGTGAAAAGGGTGCCTGTCTGCTTCCTCACTCCTCCCAGCGTTTAGAGAGTGGATTGGGAGACAGTCTTCGGACTGCCTGGTACTGAATTTTCCTATGTGGTCTGGATTTAATTAGTCCTGGCCACCTAAATAGGACAGTCAGCAGCAGCAAACCTCCAGGCAGCTAGACTCAAGAATTTGGCTACTTCATTTCATGTCATTTGAGCATCTTTTTGTGCCAATAGCATTTGTTCACTGTTTTAATACTTTTTATTATAATTTAATCACCATCTACTCCCAAGGAAACATAATTCCAGAGTTTTAAAAAAGTGCCAGTGAGAGCCATCTGAATTTTGTGCTTTGCCTGCCAGTTTTGCATATCTACTGAGCTTCATGGCAATATTGCAGTCAAGACTCTGCTCATGACCTGAGTTTGATCCCGATGGGCTCAGGTAGTATCAGCTCAGGGTTGACTCGGCTTCCCATCCTTCCAAGGTCGGTAAATTTAGTACTCAATTCACGGGGGGGGGCAATGTGTAGACTGCATAATTAAATTGTAAACCATGCAGAATGCTTTAAGCACTATGAGTTATATAAGCAGCATACTCTGTTGTGAATTCTGTGCAAAGGAGTTGTGCATGTCCACACTTTCTCGCATTAACAACCAATCTCCATTATTTGTGACATTTTACTTCTAAGTCTATCGGTTTTAGAAGTAGTTTATCAAGCTTCTGCTTTTCAAGAAATGTAAGCCAAATTCCTTCTGGATGCGCAAAACTAGTCACACAGTTCTTTGGATCTTGACTGTGGATCTTCTGTGCTTTTGATACTGTGTTTTGATAAGACTGGTCTATACCATAGCCAAATGTACTGACCACCAGTGCTTCAAAGAAGAATGTACCAGCTTTACATACAAGCAAATAATTTGTTGCAAAATTAGGTGATCTTTAGTTGCACTAAGTTGTAGCCATTGGTCCCCATACTCTCTACATCAGTGTTCCCCAACCTTGGGCTTCCAGATGTTCTTGGACTTCAACTCCCAGAAATCCTGGCCAGCAGAGGTGGTGGTGAAGGCTTCTGGGAGTTGTAGTCAAAGAACATGGAGGCCCAAGGTTGGGGACCACTGCTCTACATGATGCAAGATGAATTTGTGAGCAAACTTTGGGGAAATGTATGTGGAAGCTGAAGGGGACAAAAGTGGCCTCAAGGGCCTCATTTTACCCATGCTAGTATAGGCAGCTTGCTTATTTTGAAAAGGTTACTATTCTGCTATTTGGGAATACTATGAATATATTAATCTGCAATTATATTCTGTAGAACAGACTTGCTGTTATAGCAATTCTGTGTTGCTGTATATATACATACATTCATATCAGGTAAACAGGGTCCAAATGCTTCTAAAAGGAGATTCTCATCTTTTACAGCCTTTTCAAAATCTGCATAAGAGAGTTTGCCATCATGGTCATAGTCCTGTAAAAGAAGAGACGACCTAATTGGTTAACATTCTTAGATATATTTAGGCACTCTTGAAATTAAACAACCCCTATGGAATTCAGTAAGCCATACTGCTGATATGCACACATCCACAATATTGCTCATCCATGTGCTGGTATAACTGAACTGAGGCTTTTGTATTGCCACCCCCTCTGCTGGTATCCTTTAAACCAATGGTCCCCAACCTTGGGCCTTTAGGCACTCTTGAAATTAAACAACCCCTATGGAATTCAGTAAGCCATACTGCTGATATGCACACATCCACAATATTGCTTATCCATGTGTTGGTATAACTGAACAGGCTTTTGTATTGCCACCCCCTCTGCTGGTATCCTTTAAACCAATGGTCCCCAACCTTGGGCCTCCAGATGTTCTTGGACTTCAACTCCCAGAAGCCTTCACCACCACCTCTGCTGGCCAGGATTTCTGGGAGTTGAAGTCCAAGAA